TGTCTTCAGCAGCCTTCCTGGACTCTGACTTCCACAGTGGGAAAAGAATTCCTGAAGATGATCAGAGAGATGGAGCACCTCTTCTATGAGGAAAAGCTGAGGGCATTGAAGTTGTTCAGCCTGGACAAAGCTCCAGGGAGACTTTATTTCAGCCTTTCAATACCTAAAGTGGGCCTGCAAGAAAGATCAGGACAAACCTTTTAGCAGGATCTGTAGAAACAGGACAAGGGGCAATGCTTTTAAACTAAAAGATTTAGACTAGATACAAGGAAGAAAATTTTTTTTATGAGGATGGTGAGACACTGGTACAGGTTGCTCAGAGAGGTGGTAGATGTCCCATCCCTGGAAACAGTCAATCAGGTTGGATGGGGCTTTGAGCAACCTGTTCTAGTTGAAGATCACTCATGGCTCATCTTTAAAGATGCCTTCCAGCTTAAACCATTCTCTGATTCTATGATTCACTTTATAAATAGGCCTGAGACATGGAAGGGGTGGGATTTGCCCAAGGCTGTACTACAGACAAGGCTAAGTTTGTGGTTTCAGTATAGCAAGAAGCTCTACCAAGTCTTTGGTCTGAGGTGTAAGGAAGTAAATAGGCGTGACAAAAATGTGCCTGTGCCTCCAAGATACAGCTTTCTAAGAGACAGGCAGCAACTGTGAAGAAGCAGAAAGCCTTGCAACAAAAACCATAGCAATTGCTTTAGCCAGGGCAGCACAAGAAGTTTGAGGGAAAACTGGGAAAGGCACCAGTAGCATCTGGTAGTTGAGCTCATCTGTGTGCTCTTTAGAGCAATTCAGCTCAACCTGAAATAGAAATCTAAAGGTAGGGTGTCTGAATTGGTTGTCTTTAAATCTCAGAGACAGTCTAGTTTTGACTAGACTAGCTTAAACTAACAACAAGGCTGACAAAGGTGGGGAAATTAATTCCATCCACAGTGTGTGTAGCAAAGCCAAAGAAATATTTACACATCATTGCCTTTCCTAGATGCTGTTGCCCTGAATCTAGTTTTCCAGCTGAGGCAAATCCAGATGATGTAAATCATTATGACTCTATTGACATAAGCTAGCAAAAAGAATGGCCAAAAGTTTCTATGCTAATTCCTGATGTTCTTCCTAGGTTGGCATAATATTTAGGAATTTTGTTAACATGTTATTAAAATTTAAAAGATAAATGGCTCATTGCTAGTTCATATTTCTGTTGAAAAAAACCCAAAAAAAAAACCCCAGAAAAACCCCACTGACCTAAAGGGTGCTATAACCATTGGTAAATGGTTCATAATGGCAGAAGTGAATGTTTTGAGAACATTTGAAAATGCCAGCTCCTTCCAGACTTAAAAGTCTCCATAAGTGCAGCATTACTAGATAAACACAAATATCTGAATTGTATAGAGCAGCCACTCCAAATAAAAACGTGTTCTCTGTATCAAAGAGAACTCTGTCAAAGAATGTATTAGCCAAAGGCCAAGTTTCTTGGCTTGAAGCTTGAAGCTGATAGAAAAAATTGAATCAGTTAAATGGAAGAAGCACAATAAGAGGAGGGGCAGGCACTGAACTCTTCTCTGTGGTGACCAGTGACAGGACCCAACAGAATATCCTGAGGCTGTGTCCGGGGAGGTTTAAGCTGGATGTCAGGAAAAGGTTCTTAACCAAGTTAAGGGTGGCTGGGCACTGGAACAGGCTCCCCAGGGCAGTGGCCACAGCACCGAGCCTGACAGAGTTCAAGTGTTTGGAGAACACTCACAGGCACAAGGTGTGACTCTTGAGATGTCCTGTGCAGGGCCAGGAATTGGACTCAATGATCCTTGTGGATCCCTTCCAACTCAGCGTATTCTGTGATTCTGTGAATGTTCTGGTGTGGAGGCTGGAGGGAGTTGGGAATTTTTTTTTATTTATTTTTTTTTTTTCATTTATTTGGTGTCAGAGGAACCTGGTAAAACCCAATTTATAAATTATGTAGGTAGCCAATCTATTTTTGTCTTCTGGACAACTAAAAGACATAAATATAGAAAGTATTCTGACAGTGTATTATTCTTCTTTGCCATTACTCTGAGCATTTGTGGAGCCCAAGAGTTTTGCTGACACAAAAGAGTTATACAGGCTCCCCCAAAGTAGTGCAGTCATTTGCTGTTACCACAAGGCATGTGATTTTTCTTCTTTCCCTTCAGTTTAATATATGTTACAATTTTTTAGTTGAAAGGAACTAGAAAATGGCAAAGGACAGGAGAAGCACAGTCCTTGTCTCTAGATGGATTTCATCTGGGAGCACACAAAGTAAAAACTTACAGCTGGATTAAGCCTTCACACTTGTCTTATAGGACCTTTTAACTTTTCTTTCATCTTCCTTTAGATTTGTGGGGGACAAGGCATGCCATTGCTTCATCTGTTGGTTTTATATGGCATTTTGTTACAAATTTTCACATTTGTTAATATTTTGGACCTTTCATAACCCCTTTATGGTAATATTTTAGCTCATCACTGTCTTCATCTTTATTTCATACATGCAGGTCTCAATCAATTAGTGTGGGGTCTCTCAGGAAGCTTTATGCAGCGGTTGCTTGATCTCTCCAAGCACCCCAAAAGAAGGAGTTCATTTCTATTCACCCCCTGTTCAATAAGATGGTAGAAACCACACAGGTGTTCAGTTTCTTTCTTCCAAAAGAAATACTAATCCAAAGAGAAAAGAGCATTGTCCCACTGCATCTGTGAGGTGGATCACTGCTAAGCAAAAGAAATACCACAACAATATAACACTCATTCCTGAGGTGCTTTAGAGGTTCAACCAGTATTGTACAGTGAGTGTGTGCCAAGTCCTTATTCAGGTAAACTAGATAATCTGCATTGCAGCTTCAAGTGGGTGAAGCACTGAGGCACCTGCTCTTTATTTGCCTGAGGGAATTGAGAAACTTGATGACAAAAAAAAGAAGAAAAGAGATTTTAGTCCCAGATACTGACCGTCCTTGGAGCATGTGTTTGAACAGCCAGTTATAAGAGCCTCCATAATTCACTGTGGGCTGCACAAGAGGGAAGGTTTTAAGCAGATTTTTTTTGCCTTCTCCAACAGATGTGTTGTCAATACATAAGCATATGGCTCTTGTTCACAGGAGATATTTGCCCCCAGCTTTAATGTAATTTACAGGCAGTTTCCTAGTCCCCATTTCTCTCATTTCTTAACTATATGTCTTTCCTCAAGAGAAAATGATAATAATCCTCTAAAACAGAAAATAGATGGAATTTAGTCCAGTGAAAACTAATCAGATCCTTCAGATTTGAGTTTTATATACTTCATTTAAATAATTCGCTAATGAACATTGACAGAAACACATACCAGTGTTAGTCACAGGGAATTCACTTTGTTTTTTCCTTTCTTCTCTGTTGGTGCCCACATTATCTGAAGAAAGTGGGGTTGTTTACTTGTTTTTTTAATTACTTTTTTTATTCAAAGACATTATTGGATTCTTATTGCTTTGTGGGGACAGACTGAATAATCAAAGCTGCTTCTATTTGCAACATATAAAATTATTTGAGTTAACATCACAGATGCTAAGAGACAAGGAAGGAGTGCATTACAGTGTCTGGAAATCTCTCTTCCTCCACAGCAAGAATATTCTTTGTACTTTGAGGCCCCAAGAGTGTGAAAACTTGTCTTTGGTGGGTCTTAATGTTGCAAAGGCAGGTTATTTGTAGGTTAGAGCTTCAAGGTTTACCCACAGAATGAAAAAGTTACCTCCTGTTTTCCCTACTGGGTCCTGTCAGCTCTAGAGACTTCACTTTCTTGAGGGTTCACTGAGTAATCTGATGTGTTTGACAGCCCAAAAAAGCATCATATAAAAGTGGTTTTAACTATTTCATACCTAGGTAATGAATAGGAGCCAAAAATGGTTCTACATGGTTGTAGACATGATGTGCCTCCAGTACATCATCAATAAAACTCTGACTTTAAATGTTCACTTTTTCCTAAGATAATGCAACCTTATAACAAAAAAAAAAAAAAAAAAAAAAAAAAAAGGAAGTCTTTATGACTATACACGGAAGTAGGGCTCAGGAGACAAGCTAAAAACTTAATTGCATCTGCAGCTTTTATGAGTGTGATTCATCTGGTATACCTTACCTACCTGTGAGTTAAGTGTTTAATCTACACTGGTTTTTCAAGGCCCTTCTGTGAGACAGGTATTTCTAATTCACCCAACCTATCCCAAATGATGACTCTTTATTACTTTCTTATGACAAGAGAGTGAATCTCTTTCTCTCCCTAAACACATAATTTAGATTGATTCATCTCACCCACCTTCATCATTCCTTTGTCAGTAGCATCAAGGACATTTTTTCCACCTTTTCCCCTCTGGCAGAGCTTTTGGGGATACATACAGTATCATAGGTGTGCATATACATGACTATCTATGCACAAAGGCCAGGATAAAAGCCTGCATTAAAATGAATGGTAGTTACATTTTCTATTTGCATGGTCACCCTTCTTTTTCTAATCTTCAGATCTTTAAATGAAGTTCATACAGTGTCCTAGAGGATAGTGTCTTCCCTTAGAATAATTGAACTTAGTCTTAGACCATTTGGGGCCCAGAACAGTAATCTGCTGAATGACAAAATTACTGAGTAATTCTTGTTTGTTTAATGATGGACTTTGAAGTGTGTGGCAAAATCTCAAAAGCCTGGTTAGCTGATCAGCCTGGGTTGCTAGATTAATTGACAAACTTTTGAGAAAATGTCTGATCCCACACATAGTGGTTTAGTATTATATTTGCAAATAATAGCACAGTACTGAATTTTGTGATCTAGTATTTGCAGTTCTAGACTCATCAACACTTCCCATGAACAATCACACTGTTGATGTCTTGAACAAGATTGGTCTTGTTGGTCTCATTTTCTTTTTTACTTCTTGCAAGTAGCCCTGTTGTGCTCCTGTGTGTGATTGTAAGCTGTTCTGTGATCAAATAAAATAAACAAACTTAATTGCCTTAATTTTGCTTTGCTTTTTTTCCTTTCAGTGGCTGCATCAACTGCTAATTCCACAGCTGGTGCGGCCATGAATTCTTTGACTTCTCTGGGTACTCTCCAAGGACTGGCTGGAGCCACTGTTGGACTGAATAATATTAATGCACTAGCAGGTACCGTAAACAGTGAGTATTTATTGCTGTGGTGGACAGCCTTCCCCGATAATCATGCCACAAAAATTATCAATTGTAAAGTAATAATATGATTTTTAATCTCTACACCAAATAAGGGGGTCGAGTTGATTCTGTTCCATACTACTACTACTGCATATCTAGTTCCCTGGAGTCTTTAAGTTTCACACAGTTTGTTCTGCAAAATGAATTTCCTTGTGTCCCTGCATAAAGACTCCTCTTCTTGCAGTACATATGGAAGGTAAAAGAATCGTCACCGGGGATTTGGGTTTTCTAGGTTATAGGAGAGGCTCCTTTTTCACTGAGGGAGTCTGACAACAGGTGTATCACCCCAATGTACAAAACCTCACTCAGAAATGTAGTGCTAAGACGTTTGCCACAGAGGCAGTCCTTTAAAACATCTGTAAGAATTACCTAATTGACTTGAGAGCAATATGCTTTAAAAATGAAGGCAAGTCTTTGGCTTTTATTTGGCAAGTATGGGAGAACATTCAGTCAGTCACCTGTAATGCCAGAGCACGCACACCTATCCTATGACATCTTAACAAACCCTGGCATCTCCAGCAAAGTTGATGCCAGCACTTGTTAGAACATTCTTCTTTTTTCTGAGCCTTGGTCCAGATTTTTCTGAAGAAGGAATTTTTTTTTTATTATTGTTTCTGCTATGATAACTTCACCTTTGCCTGTAACGGAAGAGATTTCCCCAGATGCATTTTTCCCCCTCCCTCTTTTTTTTCTTTAGCTGCTGTTGCTCCTTGCATTTCCTTTTGCAATGCAAGGAATCTATTTGGTCATTGCCAGTCCATGACCCATCATAATGTACCCTCAGGAATGGATGTCCTCCTCAGTATCTCTTGCTCACTCTGATGCTCTGCATGATGTCCTTTCTGTCACTGTTACTTGGCTGCTCACACAATCTTTTTGTTCTGTGATCTCTGGTTGGCATTGTTGGGAGCTGGGAAGGAAGGGGGCTTATGGATGTCCATGTAGCAATGTTGAATGGTTGCATGGGGTCTCGTGTAAAACAGGACTTGCTTCTGGCAAGGACGTGTGCATTTCACACAAAACAACTCTTTGTAGATACAACTCAAGGACAGCTTAAGAAAAATGAGTATTAGGTCCCAAAATGACAGATGTTTTTCCATTAGTGTTAAATGGCATGCGTAGAAAGCTAACTTACCTTCTCTCGTCTCATGAGCTCTTGTAGTAAGAGATCTATCCTGACATGAGTAAGAAATCATTAAATGTCCTTTCTGATTAACAATCATTGTGCTTCACTTGGTGTATAAAAAAAATCACAGTATCAAGAGCAAAATGTGACATCCCAGTCCTTCCCCTCCACAAGTACTAAGAACCCAGGCACACTGGAGCATTCCAACATATTGTACCCGTTCATCAAAACCAAGCAGGAATGAATCATGTGAGCTCATTGTGTGGGAACCCTCCTGTTGCACTCCTTTTAATGCTCCTTGCTAGGCTGCAAGCAAAGAGTTTACAATTTCTCAGCAAGCATTTTGAGGTGATATATATGCAAACTTATCTGCATGTGTCATATATGAACTATTAATGATGTATTCACAACCTGGTACCAAATTTCAGTTTAAGTCACCATTGCCTCCATGGACTTGTACTGACAGTGACTGCAGTCCCAAATCTTCTTCATGGATGTTTTTATGGATATGTGCATAGTGCTTACAAAATGTATGTGGGTATGTCTGTCTATGTATATACATACGTGAGAGAGAGCTAAAGATGGGAAACTGCTTCTCCATGACACAGCTCAGCATTAGTGCACTGTTTCCTTCAAAAGGGAATTTGATTATCACTTTCTGGTACTCACCATGCTGATGATAGTGAAGCATTGGTCAAACTACAATAAGCTCCCTGTCTATTTTAATGACAGTATGGGGCTTTTCCTGATGACCATGCCTGACTCAGTCATTCACACTCGAACCCACCTGGGAGATTACCTTTGGAAAACCTCATGTTCATGTCATGTTCATGACATGGCTTATACCATGGTCATAAGCAGGCCCATAAAAAATTTTCACTGGCCGTGGACATTCCTGAAGTAACTGTGCAGCAAATTTGGAACTGAGTGACATGCATCTAGTTGGAGAATTAGAAAATCCAAAGCACAAGTCAAGCAGAGCTTAACCCAAAAATTAATCAGAAGGTGGCTCTGTGCTTGGGCATTGATTTATACAGAAGTTTGAAGAGATGCTCTTCTACCTAAGCCATGTCCTGCCCTGCATGTGAGAATCATGGAATCAATCTCCATGCCCTGCATGGAGAATGTCTTCCATACTGAACTCACTAGAAGACTTTTGTTTTCTCAGTCCTATCTGGGTCTGAGAAAAGCTGTGTATGGAGACTGATAGTGCTGTCATTGTAGAGAGAAGCATTTTAAAAAGGTGTCTGGAGGCCTTAAATAAAGTGGAGCATGGTAAGTTTAAGTGTCTCCAAGGTTTTGGCAGCAGTTGTACCTAAGCGTGGGGATTCAGTCTTCCCTCGGTTATTCTTGAAGCACCTAAAACTTTAAATGGCAAAACATTACACTGTCTGCTTTGAGCATGTAAATTTAAGAATTCTAAGTAACAAAAAGAATTATGAATTATGAGGAAAAATCACTAAAGAAGGAGGAAGCAATTCTTTGCAATTAAGAAAGAAAACCATACTGTCAGGATACTATGGCACAGTATTTGTGTGTGACCCCAGGGCAGTCACTTAGCCTTTTTGCCCCCTTATTTACATCTGTAAAACAGAGATAAAACTATTCATGACAGATTGGAAGGTGGTTGAAAAGCACTCTGAGAGACCTTTAGACTTGCCAAGCTTTGTTGCTTTTGTATTATGTAGAGAAACTCAGAAAAGTAGAAGGCCATAGATGAGAGGCTCCAAAAGGTTATTTCACAGAAGGGAGGAAGGGACCAGAGTTCACTGTGTGACTCAGGTGTATTGGTAGAGATAATAAAGAGATGGCAGAGATGTGTAACAGCAGCTGGGCCTTGCACATTTAATAAAAATGTAAGAACAGAAAAAGTGTTGGGTGCTTTCTGCAGCTCTGTTTTGCTCAGGAGGGAGGGGTATGCCACACGTGGGCTGTGGCAGCAGTGGCTGTGCCCTTCCCAGGAGCACTGCCGTGGGCTGATGGCTGATCTGGAATCGCTGGGTGAGAAGGTGCTATTGATTCCAGGGGAAAGGAGGGGAAGGATGCTGCCCACTGCAACACAAAGCATGTTTATCTAATAGGCCAATGACTCATGAAAGATAACATGGTATCCTAATGCTACCTCTGTTATCCAGTTATTTCAACACTCTAATAAAAAGAGAGATACAAGCTACTTTATCAGGAGCCTTTACTTTAACCCGCCCTGTGTGTACACCCATGCAAGCAGTGACACAAACATAAGTACAAAACATCAGAGCAGACTACAGTCAGCCTCAGGATCAAATTATTATTAGTAGTAATATATAATATAAAATATAAAATATTAGTCATCATTTATTGTAAAAATTATTGTTGCTGTTGTTTTTGTTATTATTATTGTTATTATAATGTTTTGAATGCCACTCTATCACTCCTTCTCCTGAACTGGGCAAGGGAGAGAAAATGTAACAAAAGGTTTGTGAGTTAAGGGCAGGGAAAGATTATTTACCAACTACCATCACAGGCAGAACACTCCTGACTAGGAAATTAGTTTAATTTATTACCAGTCAAATCAGAGTAGAATAATGAGACATGAAACCAAATCTTAAAAACACCTTCTCCCCACTCCTACCTTCCTCCCAGGTTTAACTTTATTCCTGAATTCTCCACCTACTGTCCCCAGTGGTGCAGGAGGACAGGGAATGGGGGATGCAGTCAGTTCATCACACATTGTTCCTGCAGCTCCTTCCTCCACAGGGCTGGACTCCTCATACTGTTCCTCTGCTCCAGCATGGTGTCCCTCCCACAGGAGAGAGTTCTCCACCTGCTCCTTCAATGTGGGTCCCTTTCCAAAAGCTGCAACACTCCACTAATTGCGGGTCTGTTCCATGGCATTTCCCTTCAGGAACAGGCTGCTCCAGAATGGGTCCCCCACGGGGTCACAGGCATTGCTAGCAAACCTACTCCAGTGCAGTCCTCTCTCCACAGGTCCTGCCAGGAGCACTGCCTTCCCACAGGGTCACAGCCTTCTTTGTGCATCCGCCTGCCCTGATGTGGGCTCCTCCATGAGCTGCAGGTGGATCTCTGCTCCCCCATGGACCCCCATGTCCTGCAGGGCACAGCTGCCTCACCGTGGTCTGCACCAGGGGCTGCAGGGGAGTCTCAGTCAGTGCCTGGAGCAGCTCCTGCCCCTCCTCCACCGACCTTGAAAAGCTGTTTCTCTCACACATTCTCACTCCTCTCTTCTCTAGCTGCAGTTACCACTGCACAGGGTTTTTTCTCCTTCTTTACCATGTTACCTCAGAGGTGCTGCCACTGTCACTGATGGGTTCAGCCTTGCCCAGTGGAAGGTCCGTCTTGAAGCCATCTGGCATTGGCTTTGTAGGACATAGGGGAGGCTTCCAGCAGCTTCTCAGAGAAACCACTGCTTTATCTCCCCACTACCACCCAACCCCAATACAGATTTATAACTGGAACCATTATACAAGAAATACCCGGGCCTGTTGAGTTCTGACAGGGATTCTTTTTCAAAGCAGTGGCAGCCAGTACCTCCCATCAGGGTAAAGTGATGCTCTGAAGTGGGGTGGAGGGGAAAGAGAAGTCTTCAAAGTGAGACATTTTATTAAGGAAAGGCTAAGAATATCACATCTCTGTCAAGTGTTTAGTCACACAAATTATAGTAAGATCAAAAGGTATAATTTATGCAGTACAATTCTCTTAATTGGCACAGACTCTGGTGGAGCCAAAAAGGTGCCACTTGAGCAATTGTCCTGATTATTGGAGACTCATAGGAATATGCTTTTCAAATCTACATAAGAGGCAGAAGGATACTGGGGTCAGCATCTTTATCCTCCTCTGTCAATGCTGGATAATTCCCTGCAGTATTCTTCCTGTATCTAAATTACACATGTGATAAGGTTTCTGCCATCTTCCTTGAAGACTGTTTCCCAGTCTAATAGGCTTAATTATTAATTTACTATAAAGTGTCCTCTGCTTAGTTTCCCCACTTTTCCCCCATTTACATACCAACCCCTATTATTGCTCTGAAATTAAGCCCTTTCTTTCTCTTTACTATTCCTCTCTTTGGCGTCTTAATATGACACCACCAGTCTTATCTTCACAGACCAATCAAAACATTACACAATGTCTAAGAAATGATTGCTGGTGATTCTGACTCCACCCCCCCACCCCCCGGTATTTCTAGTGACTGATCTTCTGTACATCTACAGGCCTGATGAGACCTTTAAGTTGTTTGTGAGCTGTTCACCTAGAAACTGGGGAGCTGGGGTAGCTAATTGTGCAGAAAACATGCCCTGACTCTCAGTCCTGATGGTCTTGCAGTGCTTAGGTTGACACAGGTTGGGCATGTGGAAGATGAACAGGGCTTTTAACCCTGCCATACTTTCAACTTCCAACAGCAAATTCACTTTTTCTGGAATTTCTGAAAGACATGCTAGCACTGTTAAGGTCAACATAACTCATTTAGGAGCCATGCTGAGCAATAGAAGCAAAGGAGGGAAGCTGTAGCTCAGGAGTTTGTCCACCATCAAATCAGAGTAGTACAACTCCTTATGCAGCCCACACTGTTTGCACGGATGAGGGATGTCATTTTCTGCACAGCTAGCAATCCCATCGGAAATTTCCTCTTTAGCAGCCATCCCAGTTAAATTACTCTGTTACTTATCAGGATGTAGAATTGCTGTAAGTTAAAAAAAGTGACTCTGCTTCCCTTGTGAAGAAAAACATTGCTAGAAATAAATGCTTTTGTTTCTTCATGAAAGATGCCTAGTCTGGATGAAATATTTTTAGTCACTCTGGGTGTGCTACTTGCGGAGTGACTGGAGGAACAAGAGAAGGAGGGTGGAAGCAAAGAGTGAGTGTCGCAGTCCATCTCTCGACCACAAGCCTAAGGGACAAAGCCTGCAATTGTAATAGAATCATTTAGGCTGAAAAGGACATGTTTTAAAATGCAGTTAATCAGGGTTCTCTGCTTACTCCGTATAAACAAAACACTTCTGATATGGTGTTGTCATGGCCTGAAGACCCTGATCAGAGAACGCAGGTTGCCTCACAGGCTGCTTTTCCCAGTGGCCATCTCGTAGGACACAGGTCAAATAGGTCCCACACTGCCAGCCTCAGACACCCACAGCAGAAGCACAGGTGTCAAGGAGAATGAGCAGAGAGGCTCTCAGGAGCACTGTAGTACTTGCCAGTAGCAGGCTGCATGTGAGTCCATTTGACTGTGCAACCCTTGTGCTGAAGTGATCCTGATGCCAAAGTCGTGTTTCTTTGTCCTCAGTCCCATTTGGTGAAGTGCCGAGCTGCATGCACTGCTGTCGTTGTCAGTGTCGTATAATACCAACGACTTTCGGAAAGCACTAATGAACAAGTGCAATTTCTTTTCTCTATTGTTGGGTTTTTTGTAAAGTTGCTCAAATGCTCTCAGGTATGGCGGCCCTGAACGGAGGACTCGGCGCAACAGGCCTGACGAACGGCACGGCCGGCACGATGGACGCGCTCACCCAGGCCTACTCAGGAATCCAGCAGTACGCGGCCGCCGCGCTGCCCACCCTCTACAGCCAGAGCCTGCTGCAGCAGCAGAGCGCCGCGGGCAGCCAGAAGGAAGGTAAGTGCCCACGCCGCCAAACCTAGCCCAAGCGGCACCACGCGTCTGGTTCCTCGCCGAGGCTTCTTGGAAGGCCTCGGGCAGTCTAATCTGTGATTTCTTCTTCCTCCAGTTTTCTCCTGCTTAACACTGTCACCTTCTTTAACCTCTAATGTGTTTCACTTTTCAGCCATCTGTCCTTCAAGTTATACTTTGTCACTCATCCCTTCCTTATATAAAAGCATTTACCAACTACCATACAAAAAGGGGCCACTAACAAAAATCATCCCTCTGTGGATGCAGTTTTGTCTTCTAGTTTCCATTTTCTGTCATAGTGGAGTTAATCTGATTAAGGTTTTGAGCTAATGACAAGATCCGTTTTTGCTTTGAGTGGTTCTTTGCTTAATTGTGGGTCTTGTGAGGAAGCAGCTAAGTGAATGATTGCTCCCCTCTCCCCACACCAACAGCAAATAAACCTCAGGAAGTTATTGCTAAGAATAAATTAATACTAATTACAAGGTGTTTAGGAAAATGAGGCTACCCTTTTCCCCTCTTCCGTTCCCCTTCATACTTCCCAGGCATTTTGAGGGGGGTTGTTTCTGTTTTCATTGCTTTCTCCCATTCTAATTTCCAGCTAATTCTACAAAGACAGGAAAATACTGCATGCTTTCTAAGACTGTATCTATGTTGTCACTACTGTTCTTGCCAAGGATAAGCTTTAGAAATAAACCTAGTATAATATCCTCAAGAGAAATATTTTTTGTCTTCTTTGGAAATAGTATCTTGTGCTGTTATGGGATGTGTTTCCTAGGAAGACAAATTTGGCTTTCCCTCCAGCTGCTTATTGTATCGGGACACGAGTTAAAATGTATATTTTCTCTGAAGTCTTTCCTTCATTTTCTGCTAAAAGCTTGAATTATTTAAAATGAAGGGATTTTTAAACTATTTTTTTTCCTTTTTTTGTTGTTGTTGTTGTTGTTGTTGTTTTCTGCATTTATCTTTCATCTCAGGCCCTTTGGTCAGTGACAATAGACTATTTGGCACCAGAAAAAAAAATGTTTATTTGGTGTAATTTTAATTTTTTTCTGTTCAGAAACATTCATATCAACTTTAGGTGTATTATTATTTTTTTTTTTAGTGAATTGCCAGCATCCTTTTTAAAACACAACATTTTTGTTAGATATCTTGTATCTGTTAGTAGGTGGTTAAGTTCAAGTGAGTGAATTCCACTACTGAATACTGACAACATTTTGTCTCTTATCATGATTTCTGATGGAATTGTGAAGAGTCTAGAGTGGTTGAGGATAAACAAGTACCAGAGAAAAATGCTATATAAGTATTAAATTCTGAAGCACAGTGAACTGCCTTGTGCATATGCTCTTAAATATTATTTAGTAATTTTTTTCCCCTACTATTTTAAAGAATATTATTTGCTGGGAATGATAGTTTACTTGTGACAAGAAGAAAAAAGTTCCAAGTGACAGGTTTTTTTCATCTTTTTTTTCCCACCTCCCTAGAAATTTTTATTTATCTAATTCATTTATCTCCTCTCTTTGGGCAAACTTTGCTACCTTTTCCTTCTGGCTGAGAGAGAGCAGCCAGCCTGATTCTGTGTGGGAGAGGTGAGGCCCCGTGGCTCTGTTGCAGAAGGAACTCTGTAAATCTGATGAGCGCTTTCCTCTTCCTCTCCAGAAAACCAAGGACATCACATCTGAGGCACAGTTAGGTTCCATTAAGGAAGGGAATACGTAATCAGGCTATTCTAGGTGTGTTTTTAGCAGAAATGCTTGTTCCCTTTGTATACAATTTATGCTGCTGGAGCCTGCATGGGGAGGCCATGTCTGGTTCCATCATATATTACACTCTTCCTGGCATCCACTGCTCATTTCCAGTGTGTTGCTATTGAGTAAGGGGGGAAAAAATAACCTATCAGTACCAGGATGAATGTTTTAACCTACACCTTTAATAATACATATCTCAAGTCTTGTCTGTAAGGAAAAATATTCAAAGCACCTTTGAGTTTACACCTTTCTTTGCAAAGTGAACTAAGTCTAAAGCCACTTAATTGAAATCCAACCACTTAATTTTTAACTTCTTTAAAATTACTTCCTTTACAAAGCTTCTTCCAGGAGATAGAGCTTTCTGTGGGGGATTTATATTTAAAAAAAAAAAAACAAACAAAAAATACTCATTTTGAAGTGAGTCGGTAGAAATTTAATTCTGAATGTCTTTTTCTCACTGGCTTTTAAGTCACAAGGTCTGCTTCTTCTTATTATTTTTATTCCTATCTGCACCATTTTCTTGCCCTTTTTGTTTAAATCGGTGGTACTCAAATCTGAGCTCACCTTCTTCCATTTCCATAAGTTTCTGCAACTGGAATTAAACTGACAAACCCAGGCAGGTGTTGGAAGCAGCAGAAGACTCCTTGTGCAGTTCTTGGGGTATTTTGAGAGCCAATACATTCTGTACCTGTTTTCCTAACCTTAATTATGCTGGAAAAATCCTCATGTAAATTGAAGAAAGAGGATGAATTTAACTTCTTCTGTAGTTGCATTATGAAATAAACACTTTTTGAAGTAAACACTTTTCAAGGTGGGATGCTCTAAAGAGCTGCATTTCAGCTGTGCTCCTTTGATGATCCACTTGCTTTTGTTCCTTCAGAGTTGGAAAGTAAAATGCTTTCTGACCATCAGCTTCAGTAAGTATTATGGAAAAACAGATTAAATGTAGCACTTGTAATAGCTGTTTTCATACTTCTTTTTTTTTCTTTTTTTTTAATTTTATTTTCCTAAAGGTCCAGAAGGGGCAAACCTCTTTATTTACCACCTCCCCCAGGAGTTTGGAGACCAGGACATTCTGCAGATGTTCATGCCTTTTGGAAATGTTATCTCCGCTAAAGTCTTCATTGACAAACAGACCAATTTAAGCAAGTGCTTTGGTATGTCAAATTTTATAAATCAAATGGTAAAAGTAACATGCACTATATTGAAGAGGGGCCAGGAAAGAAAATTAACAGCAATGTGAGAAATGTCATACTGGAAAATCATTCCAAAATAATGGACTGTTAATCCTCAAATGAGCAGGAAGATGCACAGACAAACTACTTCTAACCAAAAATTGGATATGGAAAAAACAATAATAATCTTCCAGTCTGACATCTCGCATGAATGTGTCAAGTACATGAAACTAATTACACCCTATGTGGGGGAATGTCATTTAGTATACTATTAAATTGCCTTATTATGGATACCTAATTATTCTCTATTGTATAGCTGAGCCACTTAAAAAAGCTCTATGTTTAACCCATTACTTTTACATTACAGGAATTCTTTTCTTCTGAATTAAGTACAAGATTTTGCAATTAGTGACTGAATGGTGTGTACATGTAGTTCAGAATATTTTGCAGACAGTTGATGTCTAGATGATGTTGATATGCAGCTCCAGCTGTTGTGGGTGGGTTCCAGTGTCTTATGGAAGGTGGCATCTCCCTTACCTTAGGGCAGGGATGAAGAGAGCCTCCCAAGATCAGTGTCAGGTTTCCCAGAGAATACTTTGAGCTGTCAGAAAATTAAATCACAGCAGAGGAGGAGAGGATGTGTTAGTGTAAAAATAGTTTTAGGGTTGATTAAGAGGGCTGATGTCTTTGGAATAGCAGAGATGAACCAGTTCAGTGCTTTGATGGAGTGTTTGGAGCATTGGTCTGATAATTATGGTCTTATACAAGACACAGGGAGGATTTAGGAGAAGGAAGGAATCTCTTAAACATGAGTTTTATAAGGGTTGACATAAAATACTGGAATTTCCTTAAAAGTGGCAATTCCTTCCCAGAGTAAAGGAATGCAATGTATATATGACAAAAGAGGATTGGATAGTACACTTGGAAAGTTGATTCAGTTCATGGAAAGAATGTGACATTCTTTCTGCATTTTCCCATGGTCTTTCAGTTCATTTTTGAAGCATTCACCTCTTTAGGAGTTAAAAAATCTTTCATATCTAACCCACTATAGTCCAGCCTGTGTCTGCAATGAGTTAAAGCAGTCCCCAAGGCTCTTGCAAATTTGAAAAGTGGAATTGAAATGGACTCCCCATTGATCTGGAGCCAGTTCTGTTAGTATGTTTGGGTTACAAAATCATTGTTGAGGTCTCCAGGAATCTTGATGAAATGTCAAATCAAGCTACATTAATCGAAATGCAGCAATTGTGGTGACTGCTGAAAGAATGTAAATTAGTTTGGGCAGGTGGCTCAAGTCATCAGATCGTTTCCCACACTTGCTTTTTGTGCTTTTTTTTTTGCTCTTTGATTACCTTCTACACATTTTCCTGGGTTTGTGGGATGCAATTGTCTAACTTAAAGTGATGCACCAAAGTTATCTTCTTTAAGGGAAAATGGAGGTGTCAACACCCAGTGGATGGAGGAAAATTCTGTCTTTCTGGTTTTAGGCAGCTTTCACTGATATTTCCATTTCTCAGTCTTCCTTCCCAGATACTCTGCCACCAGGGAGGGAGCTCTGCTTTAAAAACAAAAAGTAGAAGTGACAGATGAAGTTGAGTTTTCTGATTCAATGGGTGACTACTTGGTGATGCTGCAAATCACAGGCAAAGCCAGAATTAGTCCTGCTAGCTTAATGTACTGGCATAGTCTGCATGCACCTCCTCAGCTTTATTAGCAAGATTTGTCTATTTGTTGTTTTGGTCCTATATTTGTGTTTCAAAAAGCTTAATTTTTTCTTTTGTCCTCCCACCCAAAAACTACGACAGTAGTGCCACTGAAGAACCCATTTCTCTGCTAAATCATTAATGGTCATGGTGCTTGGTACAGTTTGGGTTTGGGTTTTTTACCTGTTCGGTCTTTTTGCCCCTTGTAATAGTAATTCTAATTGTGATTGTAATTAATGGTAATTGTAATAGTTTGCACATGCTTAGGGCTTCCTACTCTGGAGTTTCCAATCTCATCCCCAAAGGAGGAAAAAGTCAAATTACAGATGAAATAGGCTGGACATCCAAAAGGTGTAAAGATTGTCCAAGTCTGTCCATTGGCAGAAATGGGAAGGAAAGCTTCATTCTGAGTGAGTGATAGACAGTGATGAATCTTTATGTAAAACTGCTTCACAAAATGAAAAATTCCTTTTCTTTGCAAAAAAAGGACTTAGGCATATTTTCTTTTCTTGTCCAACCCAAAATGAATGCTCAAAGGATAAAATGGTGAGGAGGATGACAGGACAGTGCATTTACACCTGGAAGTGCTCTTCCATGAGTTCTCACAGGCTCCATGGGCTTTAGTTCATTCAGCAGACAAAGGGTTTCACTCTTCAAGCTTCTCTCTTGCCTTTCATAAACCTTAGAATAAGAAAAATGAGATATATAAGTAACGCAGAGGAGGGGGGACCCTGTTACATCAGTACAGAAATGCAGTCGGCCTTATAGCAAAATTGTTACTTTAATGATGAAAATTATTTATCCTGATTATAGAGATACCTAAAGATCTAAAACAAAAATCAGAGTTGTCGTGACAGGGTCTTTGAGAATCAATAAGAAACATCATTCCCACTTTATGTAACCTGTGGTTTAAAATTCAGACAAAAAATGATGAATGGGTGCAATCAGAAAAATACAAATAAAGGGAAGGAATTCCAGATTCCTCAGTAAGCTTTATAAATGAAGGTTCTCAATAAGGAAGAAGATGAGAGCCTAACAAGCTAATGCAGGTATTGCATTCTGGTTAAAGAGACAAATTGTGAATCAGAATAACAACTGAATGATAGGGGCTGATGCCAGCAGTGTGCTTGCTTCTCTTCATTCACCATCCACAGAGGCCAAGTGACTAGATCACTTGTTTACTTTCCAGGTGGATAAAACTAGGTACGAAGGAAAGGAACTACAGCGATGATAAGTTCATAGCAGTAATATGTACTTAAGAGAATAAAGTGAAGGTCAGGAAAGCTGTAGAGGGAAATGCTGAATTGTCAAGGTAGGTAGGAGTAGCTACACCTCAGCTGTGGAGTATCTCTCTGGACAGTGCTACAGCTGCCTCCCTCTCGTGCTAGTTCCCTTTTCTATCCCTGAGGCAATCCTACAACTGATGGAAGGAGACACAGGACATAGAGCTATGATTGGAGTCATGTGAAAATACGTGATCTCCTAGAAACAAATAGGGGAAAGGAAGAAAGAAAGAGAGTGATGAAGCTCCTTAGGATTTGGCAATAAATTTAAGAGGGAATGATCTTGGGAGAAAGTGAAGTGGCAAGAGTTACTATAACCAAGGAAGGTGTGGAGGAACATTCATTATCCCTTAAGGAGGTAACAAATAATCAAACACAGGACAATATGGATAGAGCTTATTGGCTTTGGCCAGGAGAAGGTCTGCAGAGATTTAAATGAGAGGTGGTTTTGAGTGGAAGGAACAGAAGTTAGCCTGAGTTGTCAGAGAAGAGTCTTAACTTAAATAGTTTGGTGAAGTTGATTTAAGGTGAAGCTACAGGGATGATCTATGAAGGAGAGCAGCTGGACAAGGATACCTTGAAGGGGGGAGGATTTTATGCAGTGGGGAAAGTGTAATAACACTCTGACTCTGCAATTGGAAGAGGGTAGCAGTGCAAGAGCCATAAAAGGATAGGTTAAAACAATAGCAAAGACAGGTTATGAATCCAAGAAATACACAGACAGTAAGCACAAATGAATAAAGCTGGTTGGTGAAAGAGAGGCACTGAGAAGCCTGTGTGTTAGGAGTGAAGACAAAGTGTGTGGCATCCATGCTTTAGGAGAGTGAAGGGATATATGTTAAGGCAAATTCAAGTGGAAAGAAGAGGGAGCATTTCAAAGCAGATGCATAACAGCAGGCTGAGTACAGTAATAATTAGCCCGAGCTGAGGCAGAGCAGCAGTTAGGCGAGCTTTGCAATTACAAGTGGGAGGCCCAGATATGAAAATGAACTTTGAGCTTCCAGAATCAGGGAGATTTGAATATATTATGAACAGAACATTTTCAGTCTCCCAGGGAAAAGAAATCTGAGCCAGGCCAGCCATTCTGAATTACCCAAGCAAGCATTATCCTCCTAGTTAGTGCTCACACACGAGGAGCAGATCTTGGAGTTCTCATCAAACCCTACCATTGTCTTTATGATGCTGCTTAATTTTGATGGTTGTGTACCCCTTTGGGGACCAAGATACTGAAACAACTAACATTAAGGTACCCTGAGATCTTGAACTGGAAGGAGCTGTAAAATTACAAAATATTAATATTGCAACTGTCTTAGGCTGAGCCCAAGGAGATGAATGTTCCATAGCACACTTGAATTCACACCCAGGTGTGCCAGTGGGTTTAGCCAGTTTGGGGGTTGATTCTGTAACCAGGCTTGCTGTTTCAGCTTCCCTTTTGCAGACTGGCCTAAATAGAACTTCCTAATGGGAGGAATGTAGATACTACACTGAAAAGTGTTACAGTAATAAATACCTTCAGTCTCTAAGGTAGGTAGATAAATAACAGAATGGAAACTGCATTGCACCAAAATTGGCGAACTTCATCTCAGCTAGTAAAGAAATACCATGAAGGTAAAGAGGAAGGCAAAAGGAAATGGGAGAGGAAAAGGGATATGAAATGTGATCAAAGAACTAATTGAAAGTGAGGTAAATGTGTCAAATAAATAGCAATCATAAAATTCTAACAAAATGCCTTCTGACATTTGTTCTAACCTAGAGCTGACTTTCTCTCTGTGTTCTGTGTCTCACAGGTTTTGTTAGCTATGACAATCCGGTCTCTGCACAAGCTGCTATCCAAGCTATGAACGGCTTTCAGATTGGCATGAAACGCTTGAAGGTTCAGCTGAAACGCTCCAAAAATGACAGCAAACCTTACTGATCTTAACCCCAGATGCTTACTGCTCTTATTTTAGCTTTCTTAGGGTAAGTCCCATGAGCAAACCTGTCCTCTGCAGGGGGGTTAAGAAAGAACATAGAGCCAACCTTCACCAAGAGACAGTTATTTTTACAGTTACCACTTCCATGTCCCCACTTGTCCTTACTACACTTGGCTCCCATGTCCTTGCCAAGTAATTACTGAGTTGTGTTACTGTATTTTGTTTTGCAGCATAATTTATCTCCTTTTTGAAACAAAAATAAACGTCTTGAAATTCCAAACAGCACACACACACAAAAGAAAAATGTGCAATTTAACTCTGTGAACCCTGGTGCCATTAGCACACAATAAAAGTTGTTTTCTATGGATGGATCGTATTTTACCAGGGTGGCACCAGCAGTTTATAGGTTAAAAAAAATGGCCTCATGCCAGTTGAAGCACTTACTTTGTAACAAAAATTGAAACAAGTCTTTCCACTACATCAACTTGTTTTTTGAGAAGATCTGATTTTTTTTCGGTTCAAATCAACGTATTGTTATATATTAGTCTGATTTTACACTGGTCGTCTTTATATTTCATTTTTTTTTAAGTTCTTGTTTTTTTGGAAAGGATTAATGTAAAAAAGATTTAGAGATCTGTTTCTAAAGCTACAGGGTTTAAAATAAAAAAAAATAAAATAAAATGAGTGACAATACTTGATGTTTCTTGAGAGATAAATTTAATAATAATAAAAAAAAGAAAGCCACAGGCCTGTAAATTTTATTTGTAAAAAGCATTTCTATTTTTATACAAAATTTTTACTGCCTCAGAAATAATGGAATTTATTTATTGCCTATTGTTAACTTATTGGATACCTAAAGAGCAGCTCTCTATGCTAGCTAGATCCTTTGAAGTAGTCTCTAGAGTAATTGTGCCAAGAATGGGCGCTTTTTCACTGTTGAACCCTCCACCCTTTGCAGTTCATGCTTTTATCCTCTTGTTTGTATTCGTCTGGTTATTTTGTTCGTAGTTTCCATTACCTAGTTTAAAGTTCAGTTGTCTGACCCTTTTTCCCCCCCTCTCCCTGTACCTTTCTGTTACATTTGTAGAAACTGGTTCTTTCCTCTCTTTTCTCCCCAAAGAGGAATCCATTCTCTCTGACTCCTTTCAGATGGATTCTTTTGGGGTTCCATTGTGTTCTTGTTGACAAGTATTGTAAGTTAATGCAAATTATGTGAACGGCTCGTAGGCTCTACTGATAAAAGATTTGCATTAGTTTTCTCCTGCACCCATAAAAGTGATTTTGTTTGTGCTGCATAGATTCTGTGTAACTTTTTTTCCTCTTCCTTGTTTTTTCCCTAGACATCTCCATGCCCGTTAGCCCATCGTTTGCCTAGCATGTCCCTGTGGCGTCTCAAAAAAAAAAAAAGTTTCATCGTCCCGTCATTGTTTCTGATGTCTTTCTGACCTCACATCATATTTGGTTCTCCTACTGACCTAGTTTGACCTTTGAAATTTGCATGTGACCTCATCTAGCTATGAATTCTGGGAAGTCAATGTGAAAAAACATTGCTGCATTCATGCAAGACTGAAATTTATTATTAGATAAATTAATGATAGGATTTAAAAACAACCTGTGGCAAAATGTTTTTTCTTTCTTTCCTTTTTTTTTTTTTTCCGTTCTGGTTTTTGGTTTTCTTCTTTCCTTGGAGTTTTTGTTTCATTTTGTTTGGGTTTTTGTTTTGGGTTTTTGTTTTTCTTGGTTGATTTTTGTTTTTTTTTTTTTTTTCATTTCGTAAAAAAAAAAATAAAAAAAAAACAGACTTGAAAGTATTATACAGGGATTGGCATTCTGCCTGGTCACTGGTGACAATAGCAATATGTGTCCAGAGGCACAGAATGTTGGTTTCTAACAGACTACTTCCAAAACAGTTTGAGAAATAAAACTGTCTGATTTTAAGTCTCTAGAGGTCTGTAATAGTTTTTACATTTTTCAGGCAGTGTAAAGTTTTTTGATAAGGCCATTTTAGGTGGCTCACTTTCTCATTAAAGTATATATATAGAACCACTTTTTGTAGATTAGTATAAGAAAATATTTACCCTGTTTTAGGGCAAATGCTACCTACTTGTGTCACCTTTTGCTGAACTGACTCACAGTTAGACAATCCATGGTTTAATGCACATGAAATTACCTATATTTTATACTGTTTCAATGTACAGAAGAAAGGTTACTGTAAAATGTGTTACGTTGGTGCTTCTGTGAATTAAGTTGTGGTTTCATCATGAGTCTTATGGTCTTAAGTGTTCTATGTTTATAAAAAGACAAGTTTAAAATTGGTTTACTTGAACAAGAACAAAAAGAAGATTCAAAAAAACAAAAAAACAAAAAAAAAAAGTTGTTTGCTTAAAAAAGAATAATTTCATGTGAAAATAAAAAAATATTCCAGAATAAGTTTGTGTTGGCTTGTGACGCATTGATGTCATTTTTTTATTGTGAACAATTTAGGTGTGTTTGTGTTCAGCAAAATGTGATCAGTTTTTCTTTTAAAGAAAAAAAAAAATCAGTGAAACTATAGTGCCAAATTCCAAAGGTACTTTCTTCCTAGAGCTTCAGTGTGTTTCTTGTGTGAAGTAATTTGATAACATGGGTATTTTATTATGTGTTTTGTATAAATCCCTAATATTTAAAGAAAAAAAGAGGTTAAAAAGTTTGTTAACTTGCTATCCTGTGGTCTTGTTGCCTGAAATTGTTATTGTTTGTTATTTCTCTTTGATGTTTTTTGTAAAACATTGTATAAGTGCCCATGTTTCACTTTTTTAACCACTCTGCACACATCAATGCTGTGAAAGCAAACCTCACTATGTATTTTCTTCATATTGTATGGAAACCTCTAAGGTGAGAAAGTTTTGAACTTTTAACCCTTTCCACCCAGAGCTGTCTTGAGTGTTAATACCTTTTATACATTCACCATTTTGCTGTTTATTTTTATATATATATCTATATCTATAAATATATATATACTTAGTTTTTTGTGGTTTATTTAATACATGGTTGAAATCAGAACAATGCACAGGGCAGATCTGAAGGACAAAAATATTTTACTGCTGTCTAAATTTCTTCTGTATCTATAACTAAAATTATTTAAAACCGTAATTAACTTGTGGTTTTCCTTTTTAGATTTTGGGGATTTTGTCTTTTCTTAAAGAGCTTTTAATATGCTGCTGGAATATGCTATTCAGTATTAATAAAATAAAAGAAAAATAAAACAATTCTTTAATTATCTATTGTGTGAGCCACTCCCAGCCAGGAGCGGTCAATCCACCATTTGAAAACCTTGAGGAGAAAAAAAAAAAAGAAAAGAATAATAATATTTTTGTAATTTAAATAAATGAATTTTTGCTTAAATCAGATGCACTAGATCTTCCTGGGTGAAAATTCAGTGTGCACTGCAGTTAAACTACTTTTTATGGATAAAGTTTACATACACTGTAATGTTTGGTGTTATTTGCCATTATTTGTCACGGCAATATATTGGCTTACTCCTGCAGACACTCATAGAGAGAGGAGTAACTTTACTCGTACCCGTGGTCCATGGGAATATCTGTGTGACTGATGTGGGTGTTTGCTGGAGGAAGCTCATTGTAAGGAACCAGAAAACAGATGCTGGTAGCCCTTTTCACTGCCTTGTAAGTTTGACTGGGTTGCGTTCCTACCGCTCAAACAGTGACCAACAACCAAATTCGGTTCTTTGCCACCGGTTTAACGAATTTATTGCCAATCCAATGTGTGTGAGCAGCAGTACCTGCTACAGGTCATAAAGTGCCATACCTTCTTCCACCTCCTAGTTCTATCTGCTTATATCTGAAGCCACCTAAAATTAAAACGAAGCCCTATATGAGTAACATCAGCTGGTGCACTCTTGTCTCTCATCCCCAACTTAAATGCTTCTTTATGTAGAGCCCTGGGATGGAAAGGACTAGCCTCTAGTGATGCAAAAAAAGTTTCCTTCTTATAGCACATGCACTTATAAATAAATGATCTATACTTTTCTCACGTTTTTACTACTGCTGGGGCCTTCCTACACCCTTTGAGGGCTATTTTGTACTACTTGCAGCAATTGTGCGTATTCAAAGTATCATCTCACGTACGTTATATTATATATATGTACATATATATATATATATAATATGAGATCATCATTTGGATTGTTTAGAGACTGTTTCACTAATTTTGCTCGTTGTACCCACCGTCTAAATTTCCAAAGCTTTTGTAGATGCCCTGGTGTGTCCTGTGGGTTTTCCAGTCCAGTTGGAGCAGTGATGCCTCTGGTCCTTGGGCAGTGTAACTCAGCACCAGGCTGCCCTGAATTACACAGGACATTGGCTTAGCATTGGGAGACAAGGAATGTTTCTGTACTTCCAAGCAACTGAGATGAGTCATTGCTTAGAAAAGTGTCCATCTCTGGAAAAAAATAAAATTAAATTAAAAAATAAAAAATAAAACTCAAATACAAAACAAAAACCCAAAACATAACCTCCTGGGAGGCAAATTATCTACAAGTTCTCTTTCAAAATAATGAAAGGAAAAAGCTGCAAGGGTGCAAGGGCCTAATAAGAGAGGAAGTAAAACAAGGGAAATTGCTTTACAAAATTCTAATCAAAAGACTAGACTAGTTGTATTATCAAACAAATTAGCTAATTGCAATGAAATGGCAGTCCTCAAAGGAGTAACAAGTTCATCTTTCTTTCACCATAGGGGTTACAGTTCCTTGGCTTGTGCTACTCTGGATCATTTTACTGTTTCTGTTTTTATTATCTTAAGTGCTAATTAACAAAAGGAAAAAAATATCCTGTAGTTTCATTACCTTTTTGGATAATGTCATACAAAAAGAAAAAAAAAAAAACAAACCTATGTATTTGTGTTTTTTTCGTGCTGTGGGAATTGTTGTTTGTAGATTAATAATACTATCATTTTGTTTAGAATTACAAACTAGTTTTTAAGTATTGTCTGAGAAAAGCCAAAGTTAATGCAATCTAGTGGAAACTGTAAGACCATTTGAGTATTGTTTCTGTTTTATTGATGCATTTGGATTTTGTTGTTTGATGGAATTTGAGCCAAAAAAAAAAAAAAGAACAAAAAAAAAGGCAAAAAAAAAAAGCAGGCTTTCCTATTTCTACAACTTGATTGTACTTATGCATTTTGTACCAGTGGAACTTTTTATACTGGAGATTAAAAAACAAATGGAAATTTTTGTGGCTTACTCTCGTGGGCCCCCTCGATCATGACTGATTTTCAAGTTTGATTTCTGGACGGTAGAAAGAGAGTTGGTTTTGTTTCAAGAATTCAAAACTTTGGCTTGATTTCTTTTTTTCCCTTTGCTTATATCTAGTGTTTAGAATTTTGTCTTAACAAAAGCGGTAAGTTTCACTTTTTATTCTGTATCGTGCAGTTACACAATAAGGTAATTAGAATTAGGAGTACTCGGTCACTTTGCGTGGATAAATGTATTAGTTAAAACGTTAGGGGTTTGCTTTTTTGCTGTTTAGATCAGAGTTTTTTCTGATTCTTCTGTCCTCATTGTGAACATAACCGTGTAGTTGAAACAGTCAGACTTATTTTTGTAACGTATGTTATTGTGTGATGCAGTTTTTTGCTTCTGTCTCCAATATTAAACCATTTTCCTAATACTTGTCTCTCTACTTTGTGTGTTGTATTGTTGGTGGTCATTCTGTGTTGGTAATACATCTGCACACCTCACTGTTTCACGTGCCTGTTTTTTTTTTTTCTCTATTTGTTGGTTGTGTACAAAAGATACAGTCGATTCCACCTAAGTGAATAGCTGATTGGGGGGCAAAAGAGGATTTGTACATTTTAGACATGTTCTGGTTTCTTTGATTTTTTTTTTCTTCTCTTCCTCCCCCGAGTCATGCCTTATCACTTGGATATTCTCTTGGAGAAGGAAGCATTTTAAATGAGTTTCCTGCAAAGTCCTATTGAAGGTAGCTTTTGTTAGCCTTCGAACTGCAAAACCTTCTGCACACAGACACACAGAAGACACCTGAAAAGGTTTTATATTTTTTTTTGCTGTGGCATTTCAGTCAGTCTGGAAAATGTGGATTATGGAGATCATTTCTTCTTAGTTGTTAAAAAAAATAATAATAATACTCTGCCCCTATGTTGCAGAAGCATATGAAACATTCAAGAAAAGGAGGATATAGCCTTGGGATTTTTTCCAAACTGCACAGTAATCTGTTGGCATATGGTGTTAGTCAAACTCTCCCTAGAAACTAATCATGTCTTAACTAGGGCTGGGAGAGCCTGCAAAATCTTACAGGTGATCAAGCTTGTTATGTGCAGTTGTACATATAATACTTTAAAAAATATAACAAAATCCAAGTGACCACGGAAAGAATTTATACTAAAGCCAATGGAAGTAAAAAAAAAAAAAAAAAAAAAAAAAAAAAAAAAAGGAAACAACAAAACAAACAAAAAAAAATAAACCGAAAAACCCCCAAACAAAATAAAAAGGAGAAAGAAATGATGAAAAATTCCCATTCCAGTGGGTGATATTTTGCTGTGGGCTTACAAAGCAGATCATTCTCAGCATTGGCTGATAGTATTACACAAATCTCAAAAGAGACTAAAGAAATATCATAGCACTTTTTTTCTCATTATTTTTTACACTTGGCTCTTACCTTTTTTATTCTTTCCTATAATTTTTTTCTCCTCACGAGAATCTCTCTGCTCTCCCCCAACTGGTGTCTACCATGATGAAATAAAAGCTGCAAAAGAAAAATTTATGTTGTTCTGGTTTACAGAAAGTCTCTTCTCTCCTCTGATCACAGATACAAACCTTACAATTTGGAGAGGGGGGAAAAAAACAAAACAAAACGAACCAAATCAATCCCAAGGAGGGGAGAGAAGCACTGGCAAGTGCTCTCTGGAATTCAAGCCATACGCCCCCATCCCGTTCCTTTGTCCCACTTTCTGTGATGCTCAGGAATCGAAGACCACTTAAAAGTGCTCTTATGAGACCCAAACGACACTCCTCCCTCTTGTCTCCTCTCCCCTGGTCTTTCTGGCGCTCTGGCTTTGGCTCACACACACAGCCCCATCAATACCGTCTGACAAGGTCCTGGCGCACTGGGTGTATCCGTGTGGTGTCAGCAGCAACGTTGGTTCCTGCATTTGGAAGACTTTTGACATTTTCTGGTGGCTCGTGAGTTGGCCTGGTTGTTACTGCTCGATCTATTTTTTCTAAATTTTTTTTTTTTCCTTTTTTTCACTTTTCTGTTTCCATGAGAAGCAAACAAGTGAAGAGTCTGGAGCTCCCAAAAAGCTCCAGTGCTGTCCCGCAGGGTCTGTTATCAGAGGTCAGGGGTCCAAGCAGCTCTAGGTTTAACCTAAAACCACAGGAGCCTGCAGCAGACAGCCCTGGCAGGAAAGCAGAATCCGATGGTCAGACTATATCCTGGGTCATTGACACCTCTGGAGTTTATGATCTTGATTTGGATAATTTTGACACCAGTGGATTCAGTTAAGTAAGTTTTGACTTGCATGATGGATAAATCAGAACTGCTATCTGGGTTTTTTTTAGCTTGCTGTGGATGTTTTCTTTTCTCTTTTTTTTCCTCCAAACTTGGTCTTAGGAAAGAAACTAGAGCTTTGTGAAGGGTCTTTTCTTCCAAAAATACAACTGAAAAAAAAAGACTTATACCGCAGTTAGGTTTCTTTTAAATACTCAGGGCTGAAAGATACAGGGTTTTCTTTCTTTTCTTTTTTTTGATTTTTTATTTCAACAATGGAGGAAAAATGAGTTCCTTGAAGCAATGCAGCTGAACAGTTTGTCCTGCTTAAACACATGCTTTTAATTTCAATTATGTAAGGCACCTTGCAGTGTTAGCAAAATGTCTCATTGTTAGCTATATGTGTATCGCCATGGGAAATTACCAAACTGTCACAAGACTCACTGATTAAAGAATAGCCTGCCAGAGTGTGTGTGCCTTTGCCCAGTGTGACTCTTAGGTATTAGGCTAAGGAAAACAGTTTAACAAAATGTAGTGTGAATCATTCCTGATAAGTGAATAAAGCATTGTGACCAAGCAATCAGATTATTCACTTATCAGGAATCGACTGTACTGATAGTTTGCCTGATCGTTTTTGTTCCTCATCTCTGTTGTAGTTTCACTACTTTGCTGTGTTCTGTTTTTTCTCTCATGCTCTTAGCAAAATCACTGGGAATATCCCTTCGTGTGATCATGAAACGTGCTACTGAGTAACAAAAAAAAAATTAAATATAAAAATGATATCTTAACAAAATCTATGCACTTGCTATCAGGAACACAATACTGGATGTGTCTTATATATATTGAACTATAATAGTATTCGATTTCTTAAATAAAGCTTAAGAAAGGATTCTGTTGTCTGTAAAATTTTATGAGCATTAAATGGAAAAAAAATGTTTCTAGGGTTGGGCGCTTTTTGTTATATGAAATCTTCTTGGGTATATGGTCTTTAACCATGCCCAGGCAAATGTTAACTAATTTGCTTGATATTTCATTAATAATGGAGACTTTGAAAATTAGGCTTACTGAAATCTGTGGGGAGAAAAAGTCTTGCCATTCAGTGACTTTGCAGCACAAGATTCTAGGATGCAGAAATTTTGATCTCTTTCTGTATTTGCAGAAGGAAATGTGCTTGGTTTTGCACTAAAATAAAAAAAAATAAAAAAGGCTAAAATATGTGAAACAGAAAATACCATAAAAACATACAATACTGTACTTTTTGGTATATGACTTTTTTTCCTCCTGATTCTAGATAGGTTTAGAGTTAAAAAAGGAAAACCCATATGCTCAAAATTCCACAGATTCCACACTGGAGGTCAAAGCATCTTTTTGGAGAAGATCTATGGCTTACTGTACGTTTCCTGTATTGAGCCTTCTCTTAAAAAAACAATTTTCACATCAAAACCCATGAATTAAATGGGAATCAAATAGGTACAACTGTAGAGTACACTGAAAAAAATTCTTCCTTCAATGGCTGTATACTTGCCACAAAATTGTAGATTTTAAACAATCTGATTTTTATGGGAATGGCCATAATTCTTGTATTTATCAAACTATCAATAATGTCAGTCTTTGGCAGAAAGATCCAGGAGAATGAGGGGAGGGGAGGGAGAGGGGTTGCTTTCTTTTTTTCTTTTGAGCTGCATTACTGCCTCACTTTTCATATGCCATTATATTATCTGAAAAAAAAAATTAAATTGTGGAAATCTATCTGCTGCTTGTATCATTCTATTCATGCATATTTAGTAAATGTTACTGAACTCAACATCCAGTGGCCAGGCACAGCAGCCTTGTAAGCCAAAAACACTGCTCCACCAGAGAGGTCACAGGGAAGATTTGCCCTGGTGATCAGCAGGATGGTCCTGTCCATCCCACATCAGCATAGAGCCCAGGTGAGAACCCTGCCCTGGTTTTCAAGGGCTGCTGATATAACACAAATATTAAGTAATCTCAATGATTAGCTCATATTTGTATTCCCTCTGATTTTCCTCATTAGCAGACTTTTTTTTTTTTTTTTCCATTAAAGGGAACTGGAAAGTTGCAGTCATTTTCTGAATCATTTGCCCCTGTTGATAACCTAATTGTTTTACATGAATGCTAATATTTCCCTCTCACATATTTATATCTATCAGCTAAATCAGCAGTAAAGTAAACTCTTCTGGGATACATTCCTATATCAATTAGCAAGGATTTATGCTCCAAAGCACCATTAGCATTAATGGGAGTGTGCTCTTTAGCATAAACAATTGGCAATAGGTCTGGTGGACTTTATTTCATAAACAAAGGAGCATTTGAATCTTAGAGACTTGTTTTCTCAAGACGGCACTTCAGGGAGTGATGTCCCAGCCTCCCCGGCTGCTCTGGGGACATCTCACTCACAGGACATGCATAAATTCCTGAGTTGCCAGCAAAAGGAGACAGTGTCAGTTTGGAAAGTGGGCTGACTTCTGGCACAAAGTTTTTCTGGCATTTTCCCTTCTGAAAACCTGCCTGAGAATGCACCAGGCAAAAATTTCAGCATTATCTCCTGTCCCTCCGACCAACGGGTTGAGAAATTTCACTCTGAGTGTTGTGTAGTGCCTCAGGACAGAGACCACAGAGGGGAGGGAGGGGATATGGAAAGAGGCAGAAGGAAGAGCAGAGAAAAAGCCCTGTAGGAGAGAAACTGGTGGGTCCATTGGCTCCTTCCACTGTCAGCCTCACAGCTCCATGGCTTTCAGTAGAGAGCTACAGGGGACCAGCAAATCACCAAGTCTCAGCTTTCACGTCCAGGTCAACAGTTTCTCCCTCACCCCATGTTTGATCAACAAATACACAATCAAAATATTTCAATCTTAATATGAAGGCATTGGGAGCTGCGGCAAAAGTCCACCACTTCCCAGAGGTGCATGATCTGCTGAATCCCTGCCTGTGCTTCTGCAGATGTTTTCTCTGTAGGTTTTGGCTTTGCTCAGTTCTGCTACATTAAAGAGCCCTTCTGCATCTGTCATTTCCCCCCAAAGGCACTCATAAGCAGGTCTCAAGTTGCTTTTCATCCCTCGTTCATAAAATAAATATATCATGCTCTGGAAGCATACACACACAATAGTGGTTTTTCAGCCCCTGAATAATTCATGTGCTTTATTTCTGCAACTTTTTCTTTTTTCCCCAACATTCTTTCTAAACTTGGGTTACCAGAGCCAGATATGTTATTTCAA